ATATAAAAAAGGCATGAGATTTGTTTACAACAAGGGAAAGCGTGGTCATGTGTGACTACGTGCCATACATAAGTTATAGTAATATGGAGTAGGTTTTTGTTAAAAGACAGTAAGCAATATGTATGACACAAAGTTTTTGTATAGCTTTATTAGTCTCAATGAGTGGCACTGGTATACAAATATAGCATCAAACACGTGTGGGACAGCGAGATTCAGTTACACGAGATTATCTCCAATGCACTTTTCATAAACTACACATTTATTGCTTCTATGAGAGTAAATTCTTAGCAGAACTATTTAGACTTAAATTGTTAGCCTTAAGAAATACTATTTTCATTTGAGAAATGTTCAAAGAATGTGTGACATGGTGAATAAAGAAGGACATACGATCCCTTGTGACGCTTCCACAGTATAAGCTAATTTTATATAAGTCTGTCTGGCAATAAAGCCCAAATACTTCATCGTGCTTCATTGATACTTCAATGTTGGAGTACAATCAAGTTTTGGGACTTTAATGTCAAAAAAAAAACTTCTATAAAATAAACTCAAAGTAATATGCTGGTCGCAAACATTAATAGTAGATTTCGTGTAGCTAAATAATTCTAAAGAATACATTTGAGATGCCTTTAAAGTACGATGAAGTTAAAGCGAACTATGAACTTGCCGCCTTTTCAACATCATTAGATTCCCTAGAGTATCTAAAGTGCAAAATGGAAATAAGTATACAATAGATCAAAGTTGTAAACAGTTACAGGAACCAACTACGTAGGCTTGGTTGACGATTAGTAAGTGGCTTAAAGTCGGAGTTTTTTCTACAGCAATTGATATACATGTTTTCGAGTTCTTGCATGACTTCTTTCAAAGAATGTACCGTAGACACGAACGTTTTTTCAATAATTTGAATATACAAGTCGTCTTCATGATTGAACCCATTTTCGCCTATACTCATTAGGATTATAGAATTCAAAGTCGTGAGCGCTTATGAGTTTCAGTAGTACATTCTTACTTTCGAGTAATCAGATGCATGAAAGCTGTTTCTCAGCTATTCTAAGGATAAAGCACATTGGTGTTAGAGCAATATGAAAGAGGAACCTCAAAACTCCCTGATCGGCTTGAATAATTGGATCATGTGACCAATCATATTTCAACAGTTTCTTTCTTCTATTTGGAGGGCAAAACAAAGTGTTGTTTTGCTCGATGATAGAGTTTTTGTGGTCTCCTGCATATGATCGGAACAACAATACGTTTTGTCCTTAAAGTAGCTAAGAAACAGCTTTCACGCATCTGGTTGCTGGGTAATAAAAGTGTGCTGGTGAAACTCGTGAGCACTCACGAGGTTGAGCTCTACAGCCCTAATCAACATAAACGAAAATGGATTAAATTTGAAAGACGACTCTCATATTCGAAGTAAAGAAGATACGCTCGTGTGAGCGTAAGAGTGAGCTGTGTATTTCTATATAAAACCAGATATACTGTTTTCAATAACTATTTCGATCGGAGAATATGCATTTGAATAACTCTATTCATTAAATATCGATCAATATCGTCCCAAAATATATTATAAACAAAATTCAGCATAGACTCTAGACTGCAACGCGATTTTGAATAATCCTTAGTGGGATATTACGAAAGTAAACTTCTCACTATTTCTAAAAACCTTCCTAAGCCTTGCATAACTACAAAGAATTGCACAGCAGCTACAGCACACGTTGCAAGTTTGTGTTGCTCAAGGTCTACATAGAACCATTTGAACTGAATCATCTTTTATTGTATAATCAACAGACCTATCTTGAAACTATGTAGATTGAAGCATGTTCAGAGATAAATTACCAAGTCGAAAGTTGTGTTGTGGGAGTGCCACTCCAGATAGAAAAGAGTTATAACGCCTTGTGCAACTGCAGCGTTTGAGAACCTATTTTCTTCCTACATTAGGGACTCAAGTAACTACTCGAAGACCATGAAATAAAAACCCGAGACTTCAGCTTCTCAACATCACTAAAGTTCCAATTATCTGCATATCTATGAATCGAATCCAAAACTGTCACAAGTTTCAAAAGTACTATATTAATATACACTCCATCATTTTATCTGTTCTGTTCTTAGCATTTAAATTTTACTGAATCCAAGATATTCAAAACAAAAGATATATCTCTTTTAACTTGAATCAATCTCTGCTTTGACAATTATTTTCTTTTCGCAATTACTATAGATCAGAATTGCTCAAGTTTCATACGTAAAGACGATTGGGATATACCAGACAATAATATATTATCTTCTCCTATACACGAACCTGATTATGCTAGCTGTTGCCAACAATGTCAAACAACTTTTGGATGTTTTGCTTTCACGTATTCGCCATCCAGTCAACTATGTTGGCCGAAAAGAAGTATGGGCAATGGTGGCAACTCAACTGGCGATAGAATTACTGGTTATAATCGTAAGTGTTCCAGCTCTCTGTTAGGAAGTATCGTGTTTTTCGCAGACAAGCTCAATAAGAAAGACTAGCTTATCTGAGTTTACTCGATGATTGCAAAAAAATTTGAGACAAAACTGCACTCTAAACAGCTTTTTTGTGATAACTTCCATGACGCAAAGTCTGCATGTGCAACGTTGAAAACTCTTCCTTTGTTAAAGTAAGAAATTTTATGTGACTAAAACTGAAAACCTGAAAGATTAATATCTGTCTGTTTGTCAGTCTTGCACTTTGTTAATCACAACCTACTGCTTCTTAGGAGGCATTATATGTAAGCCACGACCAACGTTGCTCAATCGATCTCACCGATTTGGCTGGTATTTTTACAGTAAGTAGGCCTAACAGACTTAGAAAGAAACTAAGAATTTCAGCTCAAACTGATGACGTGTCCTGAAGATAGAGGTGCCGCAAGCAAGAGGTGATAGATCTCATTTGGGGCACTTTGTAATGCGATACTTTCTAGTAAATTTTCATTTTCTCGAAAGCAACAAGAGATATAGCCGAGATTTTTTTTCCATAAATTCTATCAATGATGAGCTACATTTTTATGGTAATAAAAGTACTTTATCACTGGATAATTTTTGCTTGGTATTATATAGCATTTTTAGAAAACATACTCACATAGATACGGTAAGTTAGTCGAATCCATGTAACAGAATAAATCGAGAATGGTCTCATTTGAAAGAGCACATCAAAATGTGTCGACTGACATTTTCAGAATTTTGTGGTATTGAACTTTGGTAGCAAAAAATGTTTTGAACAAGACTGGAAAGATCGAATTTGGGGCCAGATTCTCATGATGAAGATTGGTGATTTATTCCGAAATGTTTGATTTAAGTATTTCAGATGAACACCCATGTCGAGAAATCTTTATGTGCAAAATTTCAGCTCATTTGAACTTTTCTTTGAAGAATGGTGATCCATTTATGTTTGTAAAATAAGGCAGGATAGCATATAGAGCCCCTCTAATTTTTCTGATATCCATCTTTCAGTTAAAGTGCGACCAAAAGATCTGAAATTTTTACCATAAACTATTCCCATTCAGTGCTTAATATACACAACGTTTCACCTCAAAATCCGAATTTTGATCTTTCTGCATGGTCCCGAGCGGGACTACGGCAATTTCCCACAGATAATTCGAAAGAAAATCTATGCTCGAATTTTGAGCTGAAACTTTACACATATAAAATACTTGATGAGTATAACTCATGGTAAAAATTTTAGATCTTTTGCTCGTAAGTTAATTGAAATATGAATATGAGAAAAATTAGACGGACTACATATTAAGCTATCCTATGATATTTCACGAAAATGAATGATTCACCATTTTTCACAGATAAGTTCAAGTGAGCTGAAATTTTAAAATTCGAGATTTCTCAACATGGTCTTTCATCTGAAATACTTGGATCAAACATTTGAAAGAAAATTACCAATCTTTATAGTGAGAATTGGAATCCGAATTCGGTCTTTCCAGTCTCGTTCAAAAAAGTTTTGCTACCAAAGTTCAATACCACAAACTTTTGAAAGGATCAATCGACACATTTTGATGTGCTCTTTCAAATGAGACCATTCTTGATTTATTCTGTTGCTCTGATTCGACTAACTTACCGTATCTACGTGAGAAAGTTTTCTAAAAATGGTCTATAATGCCAAGCAAAAATCATTCAGTGATGAGATACTTTTATTATCATAAAAATGTAGGCCACCATTGATAGTATTTATGGTAAAAAAATCTCGGCTATATCTCTTGTTGTTTTCGAGAAAATGAAAATTTATTGGAAAGTATTGCAGTGCAAAGTACACCAAATGAGATCTACTCCCTCCTACTTGCGACGTCTATGTCTCCAGAACATGTCATCCGTTTGAGCTGAAACTTTCAGTTTCTTCCTAGGTATGTTAGGCCTACCTACTGTAAAAATATCAGCCAAATCGGTGAGATTGATTGAGCAAGGGTCTGCTTGAATTGGTCGTGGCTTACGTGCAATGCTTCTTAGATATAATCGACGCAAGGAACTTTTATTGTAGTTACACGAAACAAAGAGTCACTTAGTGTGGTGATTGATCATTTTTCTTCTCCTTTTTTCACAGAAACATTATCCTAGAAAAAAAGATAAAACGCTTCTTCCTGTTCCTTGCTACATATTTTCGGTGACATGGCAGATGACATATTCATTTCTTCGTTTTGCGAAATACAGTTGAACCGGGAAGAAACAAGGAACAAAACGACAGGACATATAAAGAGAAGAACAGATCCATAAAATAGCAGCAAGTTTGATATAACAACAATTCAAATTTATAGAATGCAACCCAAGAATTAAGTACAATAATTCTTAACTCTTGCTTTCTTGTCACTCAGGTAGAGTTACTAGTGTAGACGATTTCGAACAGCTTAGCGACGATACAATAGGTAGGAGTAAAATCGTGTATTTAGAAACAACAGGGTGAAATGCGGTCACGTCTTCCACTCTTTCATTTAAATCATGTCTGCTATCAAAATTATTCTTTTATTTCTTTCCTCACAGCGGATATGTGTGGTGGTTTTGTACGTAAAGACGCCTGGAACATACCTGGAAATAACATATTACCTTCTCCTGTACAACAACCTGATTATGCTAGCTGTTGCTCAAAATGTCAAGCAACTTCTGGATGTATTGCTTTCACATATTCGCTCTCAAGTCAACAATGTTGGCCGAAAACAAGTATGGGCAGCGGTGAAAACTCAACTGACGATATTATCACTGGATATGATCGTGAGTATATCAAATCTCTGTTAGGAAGTGCCGTGTGCTGAGTAAACAACCTCAATAAACGAGACTAGCTCTTCGAAGTTTACTTGATGATTCGAAGAAAAATTGAGAGAAAACTAAACCGTACACAACTTTGTTGTGATACGTTTCTTGATCAAAAGTTAGCACATACAATGTGAAAAAATTTCCCTTTGGTAATACAAGAAAGTATTGATTCTTAGATATAATGAACACGAGGAACTTTCATCGACAGGCAAACGAACAAAGAGCCACTTTTCATGTGAGTGTGGGTAGTATTTTCTACTGTTTATTCACAGAAGCACCATCGAAGAAAGCAAATTAGGCTCTTCTTGCTCTTTTTTGCAACAAGTTTTCGGTGATATGAAAGATGAAATATTCTATTTTGTCATTTGCGAAATAATGTTGCACGAACAAGAAACGAGGATCAAAACGAGAGAGTAGAACATGAAAATATTCGGGTTGAGTTTGAACCTGCTCTTGACATCGAGTAAGATCTCCTTCGCGTAGTTAAACCACAGAATAACAGGAACTTCGATGCAACTGTCCTTCAAGTTTCTAAAATATAACGCAACAACTAGACACAAAGACTCCTAGCGCTTGTTCTCTTGTCACTCACGAAAACTTACTAATGCCGGATTTTTTTAAAAGTGCTAACGACTATTTTTTGAATAACTTTTCAAGGGTACAAGCTATAGAGATTGGACTTTCACCATTAGAAAGAGCAAGGTGGGGGACGTCGATCTATATAAAATTCATTAGGTTCAAAGATCTTTTGTATAGTTGTTTGCAGTCACATATCTTGTTTGCTGTCTATTTTCATGAGTTTTCGTGACAAGTTAACATAATATTTAGTCGGCGACAAAAGTTTCACCCGTATTAAAATGAATCTCTTAAGATTATTTCCATATATGAGAATAGCATGCAATACGTTTATATACAGAGGAGTTCGAGACGTTTACGCAGCACGTAGTAGTTTTATAAGTATTTGCTTCTTTTTGAGCAAAGTAAAAATATGTGAATATACATTCACTTTTGAATGATTTATTGAGAGATGAGATGGATTGTATGATATGAGACCGAAGTTTTGGGCTAACGGGTTTTTAGTGAACGAATTACGATTCGAAATCTTGCACTCAGTGTTCTTGATATTGCCTATTGGCGGAGCATAGCCATAGCTCTTCCCTCTGAATGTTCAAAAGTTATAAATTCGAACTCACTTCACACGACTCTTTTCATCTCTTCATAAGCCATCCAAGAATGGATGTATTCACATACTTTTTACTTTGCTCATAGAAGTAGTAAACAACTATAAAATTAACCATGTGCTGCGTAAACATCTCAAACTCCTCTGCATAAATACGTGTTGCATTCTATTTTCATATATTGAAATAACATTAAAAAATTAATTTTAATACGGGCAAAACTTTTGTCGTCGACTAATTAGACCAGAATGTACCTGACATCGTCCTATATTCGTGCTAAAAGTTTTATGTTTTAACATCAAAGAGTAAGGAAAAAAACTCAAGAGTAAAACGCAAGGATTTGAAAATTTTAGCACAGATATTGGACGATTTGGGCTACATTTTGGTCTGTTATGATGTTAACTTGTCACGAAAACTCATGAAAATAGACAGCAAACAAGATGTGTGACTGCAAACAACTATACAAAAGATCTTTGAACCTAAGGAATTTTATACAGATCGACATCCTCCACCTTGCTCTTTCTAATGGTGAAAGTCCGATCTCTATAGTTTGTACCCTTGAAAAGTTATTCAAAAAATAGTCGTTAATACTTTTAAAAAAATCCGGCATTAGTATTCACGATTTAGGAGCAGCTCAATGATCACAAAATAAGAAAGATTAAGACACATATTCGAGCAAAAAAAAGCAGTGAATCCTAGAATCACAGTGAATATGATCATTTTTTGCAATCGTTTATCTACATATTCAGTGCTGTTAATATTTTTCTTTCATTTATGTTCTCACAGCGAACATGTGTGGTGATTTCATACGTAAAGATGCCTGGGACATTCCTGGAAATGACATATTACCTTCTCCTGTACAACAACCTGATTATGCTAGCTGTTGTTCACAATGTCAAGCAACTTTTGGATGTATTGCTTTCACGTATTCACTCTCAAGTTATGGATGTTCGCTAAAAACAAGTATGGGTAGTGGTGGAAACTCAACTGGCGACAGTATTTCTGGATATAATCGTGAGTGTATCAATTCTATGTTATGAAGTGCCGTGTAGTGAAGAGAGAACATCATGAGACTAGATTAGTTCTTCGAAGTTTACTTTATGATTCGAAAAACATTTGAGAGAAAACTAAAGTCTGGACAAAGTTCTTGTGACACATTTTGCGACGATAAGTTAGCGTATGCAATGTAGAAAAATTCACCTTTGTTAATGCAAGATATTCTCTGTGACTAAAATTGAGTTTAAATGATGAATGCTTGTGTCTTTGTCATGTTTCTAAGAATTTTTTAATAATTTATTTCTTCTTACAAGTAGTCAAGATGAGGTACTCTTACTATCAGGTCACACTCAACTAAAAGTGGATTACGAAACTTACCAGGTTTCATTTCACTGCATCATATCTTGCAAGCTATTGTGGAAAGTTTAACAAGCTTTCGAAGTTTTTGTAATTTATGAAGCTTCTTGTAAAACTAGTAAAGGTTTGCCAAGTGGAAAAGATTTCGTAACATGTTCAGGAAAGATATGGTAGGAGAGAGGTTTCATACCAGACTTAGTTTTTTCTTGTCTCTAATATGTTTAATACGGTAGATATTGACGAGTATACAACTCAGATGATTTGATATTGCTTTTGTTTTTAGCTACTTACCTTCACTCTAAAATCGATTGTAACTATTTAATTACTAGTTTCTGACTTACGACTTTCTCAAACGAAGTTTGTTGTTTGGTAAATAGCAATCGCTTCACCTTATGCGAAAATCACAGTTCTGTATGTGCATAGCCCTTGAAAACTTTTAAATTTTGTAGAATGAAACATAATATTCTAGAGGAAGATTATTGAACGTAAATGAACCAACATCAACCTCAAGTAGCTTTACTTAACGAGTGATATAGTTTAAAAAAAAGAGCGACTGATATCATCGGATTCGATAATATCGACGCTTAGTGGATCTCTGAGCTTTCTGTGTGGTCATCCTCACATGACTGATTTTGGATTTTGTGGATTGTAATTTGATGATGTATGTTTAGAATATTCTGATGAAATTTTATTAAAAAACTTTTGAGCGTGTTACCATAATTTTTTCGGAAGATATGCATCAAGTGAAGGTTAATAGTGGCTTATTTTGTCTCTGAAACTTATTCTTGACTCTTCATTCTACCTATTATGGTTTTCTGGTCGACACAGCCTGTTCGAATGTAGAGTGTGGGCGAGGATGCGGGTGTGATAGTGAGTGTGAGAGAAGAAAAGAATGATCAACAGTTACACTCACACACACACACCTAACTTACCCACGATTTGTAGCCCATATCCTATGATTTCTTCTATTATAAAGTCCATTAATATCAAATCGTTTCTCTTCACAAAACAGAAGTTTTCTAGATGATGATTTTTTCGTTTTCCTTCTTGGGCAAATTTCAAATGAAAATCCGTAACTTTAGTAACGGCACGTTTTATGCATAATTTGTATCCTAAACCATCTTTAACCAAACGTCGCATTGTTCTTCTTGATACATCTTACACTTTAACAATTTTTTTTCTTGGCATCTTCGTTTTGGCTCTCAGAGGATTAGGCCTTAGTTGTTTTATTAATCTTTTGGTCCATTTTGACTTTTCTCTACCTGATGGGCTTTTCAAAATAACATTGTTAGATTTCTCGAACATTTTATCTCATCTATTAACTATTGTTATACGAACTTTATCACCGAGATTTTTTACAATTTTTCGACTAGTTAAACCTCCATCATGTAATTGCAGTGCAAGCTTCCGGTTGTCTTCAATTTGTATAACTTTTAATATAATTTATATATATAGCATGTATAGTTTAAAACATCAGAAGATTCTCTATCAGAAGAGCCTAGAACGGAGTTTTTAGCATGGTGGCAATGTCCTGAACAGAGTAAAATATTTAGGCCTAATTGTTGTAGACCACGAGGTACCGTATGTAGAAGCGAGAGCCAGGAGTCATTTTCAGAGACAAAACGAGATACTCTTGAACTTTACCTGATGCGTATATACCAAACGTTTCGTAGCATACAGCTAAACAATATCACTAAAGCTTGTCCACAGCAGTCTTAACATATCCTACAGAGTTGGTTCGATTTGAATTTTTATTGTGCAATACCAATAAGCAGAGAATGGTGCGCTAATATTAATCGTAAATTATTTCTGGTAACACGCTGACTACTTTGCTTTAAGAGCACCAGTAAGTGGTTGTGATGAAGGTTATATCATATCACTCCGTATTTTTTCAAGGTGAAGAATATCTGATTTCTACAAAATAACAATATTTTGGTAAAATGTGACCGATAAGTGTGAGGACCAGAAGAATATAATTTGCTATATGAATTTCAAAACCTCGAATTTCCGTTTTGAAAGGTCCATCAGTTCAAGCTCTGATGCTGTCACTATATTAAAAACTTTGATTTTTAACAGATGGATCTTTTCTCAACGAGAAAACTTCAATGAAGCCGTATTACCTTAACATAAATCTGTTTATTACTTATTTCTGTCAATAAAGTTTCATCAGAAAGAAAACAACCTTATTACCCTTTGAACAGTTGAGTGACCTGTTAGCAATTCATATTAGCAAACAGCGTAATGCCAGCAATATCGGTTGTAATTCCCATAATAATTGAATGATTCGTCGTTGCTTAATCTTTCAGATTCTATGAACGATGTCTATCTTTCAAAGTTGTTTCGGTGTTTTAAACCGGGACAAGTTATAGATATGGGTACATATACATCAAATATAGCGAATAGGCGAAGATGATCGATTCAGAGGATAACTATAGAAAAATCGTTTGTATAACGGGTTAGATAAACATTTAGGATTACCATAAGAGTTCAGATATGCATCAAGAAGTGAATGTAAATGGTTAGACACAACTTAAGAGGATATGTTCAGGCGTTACAATCAATAGTTTATCAATCTAGATGGTCATATTGACATAGAAGCAGACTCAATCTTGTAGTGTTGGAATTCGTACGAAATGTTGAGTACAACACTGTTTTTGAAGCGAGATAACTATGGTTTTGTGCCTAGCCAGATTTCTACGAAACTTTTAAAAGGTTTTGATTTCGTTGCCAAAGTCGAAAACCTCTTTAAGCGTCCCACGATACTTGTTTTTTTTTACAGTGCTGCAGAAAGAAAAGCAACTTTACATGTTGATTGCTCATTTTTCTCCTTCCTTCCAGAAACGTCATGAGCGAAAACAAATTATGCGCTTCTCTCTGTCTTTTTTGCAACAAACTATCGGTGAAATAGAAGGTGAAATATTCATCTTTCTGAATTATGAAATAAAGTGGAAGCGGTTGGAAAGGAGGAACAAAACGAGAGGACACAAAAAGTGAGAAACAGAGTAGGAAATGAAAACACTGGTTAGATTTGAACCTACTTCTCACATAAAGTAAGACCTCCTTCCTCTAATTTTACCACAGAACAGCAGAAACTACAATGCTACTTATCTTCAAATGTTTAGAATGCAACGTAATAAGTAGACACAAAGGCTCTAAGATCTCATTGTTTTTGTCACTCACGAAGATTTACTAGTATTTAGGATTTACGATCAGCTCAGTTACGACAGAATAGAAAAGAAAAAAGTACACATTCGAGCAAGAACACATTGAATATGGCTACTCTTTCCCATCTTTCATCTGCATAAAAAGTGCTGTTAACATTATTCTTTTATTTGTCTTCTCACAGCGAATATGTGTGGTGGTTTCGTACGTAAAGACGGGTGGGACATACTTGGTAATGACATATTATTTTTTCCTGTACAAAAACCTGATTTTGCTAGCTGTTGCTCAACATGTCAAGCAACTTGTGGATGCAGTGCCTTTACGTATTCGTCATTAAGTCAACGATGTTCCCTGAAAACAAGTATGGGCAGTGGTGGAAACTCAACTGGTGATAGAATTACTGGATATAATCGTGAGTGTATCAGGTCTTTGTTAGGAAGTACCGTGTTATGAACAGCACATTTTAATAAATTTGATTAGTTCCTTAAAGTTTACTTCATGATTCGAAAAAGCGTTTGAAGGATATCTAAATTCTGCATAACTTTCTTGTGATACATTTCTTGAAGATAATTTAGCAGATACGATGTTGGAAAATCTTTCTGTATGAATAGAGGAATTGCTTGGAGACTGTAGTTGGTTAGTTAGTTAGACCCATTACCGTTTCTGGTGTAATGTGACAATAGAAACAAGTTACAGAAAAACACAAAGATAATGAAAGTTCATTATTTGACGAATGTTCTATTGATCGCTACTAGAAGTTGAGCTAAGTTATTTATGAGGATAATACCCTCCAATCCCAGTTTAAATGATACCCATCATTCTCACAAATTTCAAGTTCCAATAGATGATTAACAATCATTATTAGCTGCTCAACTAATTCGTTCGTTTAATTTTGTTGTTTGTACACCAGTCTTGTGCACAAGCTTTAGTATGTTTCGTAACACCTGGAGGCATAAACAATTTGCCACAACCAGGACATTGGTATTTACCAGAAGTGTTCTTCTTTAATACTTCTATTACTTTTTTCTGTACTATTCCATGAGTTGTTGCTAAATTTCTTCTTTTCGTTCAGCTGCTCGCTTTTTTGTACTCAAAAATAATATCTTTTATATGTGGATGAATAGATCTGGTCTGAGTGTTCTGATTAATTACATCACACCATTGATTTCTATCAAGAATATGTCTTCTCCAATTGGTAATATTCAGAGTCTTGTGTATCATGCTGAATTTTATCTTCCCATCTTTTTCTTATGCCGATTTTTCGAGGTCTTTTCTCTTCAGGAAAGTATGAAAATGTAATCTTTTTTTGACACTGATGCCTCATCATTACTCTTCATCATCTTATTTACATGTTCGAACCACTTCAATCTATTTCTACGTAGAATATTCACAATTGGTGGTGAACCAGTGATTTCTAATAGTTTTTCATTTGACATTCTATCACCTAGATTTACAACCGATAATTATACGTAGACATTTCATATAAAATGTGGAAATTCTACGTTCATGTTGACCGGTAATTGACCACGTTTTACTTCCATAAAATAAAACTGAAAGAACACAAGCACGACAAACTCGTAGTCTTGATTTGATTGAGATAGCTTTTCGGCTCCACATCACATGTCTTAACATATTAAATGCAATGGCAGCTTTGGTTAATCTTGTGTTAATTTCACTATCTGGCTTCTGATCTCTAGTGATACTGCAACCTAAATACGTAAAAGACTCAACAGCTTCTACCTTTTGGTTACGAATTGTAATGTCAATATCAGAGGAGATCACTTCGTTCTGTTTTAAAATCTTTCGATTTTGATCGTTCTCAAACTGTTGTAAAGTCATAATACATGTTTTTTAACACTCATTGTCAATCCAAATTCTTCAGTCACTTTTTCAAATGTTCGAATAAATGTTGCTAGATCAGATGCTGCTTCACACATAGCTGCAAGATCATCAGCATAAAGTAGTGTTAAGATGTTAAAATTCTCATAGGTTTCCCGTTTGTCATGAAAAAAATCATTAGTACCATAAGAAAATTTGGCTTCAGCAATACCAGCCTCTTCTATAACTTTTCTGATGATAAAATCAAATAAAATGTTAAACAGGATTGGTGATGGTATACCATCTTGTTGCACTCCAATTTCAATTAAGAAACTATCCAATAATTCACCTTCAACTCTCACTTTTGCCTTGGAGTTCTTATAGAACTTTTTCAATAGATTAACAAGTTTCTCTGATATGCCATAGTTGCGACAGACTCTCTACCGAAGATCACGGTTGACGGAGTCATAAGCCTTTGTAATATGAATGAAACAAATGAATAATGATTTGTTGAATTCCCTACGTTTCTCCATTGTGATTTTCAATATGTGTATTTGGTCAACAGTTGATCTCTGTGTTCGAAAACCAGATTGTGCTTCTAAGAATTGATAATCGATCATATTTTGAATACGGTTCCATATAATATGAGAAAATATTTTACTTGTTACATTCAACCGTGAAATTCCTTTATAATTGTCACCCATTTATTTTTTTTCGTTCTTGCATAATCTAATAAGAATAGCTACGCTCCAATCTTGCATCATCAGTTCACTCTTCCATATGTCAACAAATATTTCGTAGAGCCAGCCAATAACTAGTTCTTCTCCAGCCTTCGGAAGGTCAGCTGTTACTTCATCATTTCCTGGTGCTTTCCTTGATTTCATTTGAGATAATGCTCTTCTTATTTCTCCTATTGATGGTACAGTGTTTTGTCTCTTTTCCTCTTCTTTAGATAATGTATCAATTTGAATTTCATCAATAAGTTTTTGATCGACTGTTGATGGAGCATTAAGTAGTTCATCAAAGTGTTCACGCCATCGTTGTAGTCGATCTGATGAGTTCAAAAGTAGTTTGCAGCTCTTATCTTTAATTGGCATGCTTTCAATTCGTTTACTGCCACCGCGTAAACGTCTTATGATCGAGAAAGCAGCTGCTGGATCATTCAGTTTAATAGAGTTTTCTATTTCTTCGCAAATTTCATCCCAGTATTCAATTTGACGTGCATCGATTTTCTTCTTAGCTAATTTTCTAAGACGTCGATACTTATTTCTGGTTTCTATTTCTAAATTAGTGCCACGGTGATTCTGCCAATTTAGGAGAGGTAATGATTTCTGATCTACGATTTGTAATATTTCGTCCGTGAGCCCTTCTTTTCTTTTTCGGTTAGTATTCTTGTCTAATCTAAAATGTTTTTCTGCATTTACTTTCAAATGTTCCATGAATAATGAGTATTTTTCATCAATACTAATTGTATCATCAGATGTACCAGAGATAGTTCCACGGAGATCACATTGAAACGATTCTAATGCTTTATCATCTTTAAATTTAGTAATGTCATATTGAACTCTTCTCTGTTTCATTAGTTTCTTTCGACTTTTCAAATGTAATTTGATTTTGACACGCATTAAATGATGATCTGTTCCTATGGCTCCAGCTGCACTTCTAAGCATACTTACATCTTCAACACTCGATCTAAATTCTTTGTTGACTAGTGTAGAGTCGAGCGTGTGCCAAATCTTTGTTCCAGGATGTATCCAGGAAGTCTGATGCATGAGCTTATGCTTGAAAAACGTGTTTGAAACAATGAAATCATTAATTGCACAGTAATCAATTGACCTCGTTCCATTCTGATTCTCCTTATCAACAGTAAACGGTCCAATGCAATTACATAAATTTTGATGTTGCTGTTTTTCTCCTATTCTTGCATTGAAGTCTCCCATGACAATTAACATATTGTCAGTAGAAATTCTATTTACGGTATCTTGTAAATCTGCATAGAATTTATCACTTTCATCAGCCATCTGTGTATTTGTTGGATTCACCGGTGAGTAAACAGTTATAACAGTTATATTAATTTGAGACAGAGATGTCCATCGCGGCGCTGCCGCGATGGCCTGTGGCGGCAGCGGCAGCGGCAGGATTTTTAAAAAATCACCGCGGCAGCGGCGCGGTAGCGGTAGATTTTTTAAAATCATCGCGGCAGCGGCGCGGTAGCGGCAGGTTTTTTAAAAGACCATCGCGGGAGCGGCAGGATTTTTTTTGGGAACATTGAAAAACTGCATGAATTTAATAGAATTTCAGGGTTTACAAATGAAACACCCCGAGACTGAATGAATCTGATGGACTAGTACCAATATCTCTTGTCAAATATAGTCGCAGCAGTGAAATTAGAAACAGTTTTTTGTAAACCGCCGCGGCAGCGGCGCGGCGGCGGCACGTTTATTTTATAATTCATCGCGGCAGCGCCGCGGCAACATTTTTTTATAAACCGTCGCGGCGCGGCTGCGGTGCGGCAGCTTTTTTTTTCTAAGGCCGCGGCGCGGCAGCGGCAGATTTTCAGCCGCGATGGACATCTCTGATTTGAGAACACTTAAGTCTAATTTTCAAAATTCTATCAGAAACTGCATTCCACTCTGATCCTGAGTCCTTTCAAACCTTTGTGGCTGTCTGATCAAGACAAATTGCCACTCTATGTGCGTTTCTGGTCTTGTTATCAGATGATAAACCAGAGTAAATCATTGTATAATCATTAATTAATTTAGCACCAGAATCGTATATACATGTTTCACTCAAAGCAGCTATTTGTATACGAAATTGTTTCAATTGTTTAATGATAAGTTCTTTCTTTGATTGTTAAACACATGGCCGAAGATTCCGTCCGCCAAATAGCACGTAAAATTGTGCATTGGCACATTTGTTTTTCTTCTTTTCCTTAGCAGAGATAAAGTAGTGGACATAAATTTAAGATATTTTTGTTTTTTGCTATAACTCAGCCGCATTAATATCTAACAATCTGATTCTTTCACATTTAGAAAGACCTTATTAAGGACTATCCAACTTGAAAAAATAGTCAAAATCACATGTGTTTTGGATGAGTTATGGCGAAAACAATTTCATCCCAGCGGTCATAAATTTAGGACACTTGTAGTATTTTGCATTTTTTCACATGACGATTTTGTTTAAGAAAATTGAAACATATATCAATCGATGCAGAATTAAATGGGCCATCTTTTGGTAAAAAGTACTTTTTGAATATTATTAGTTTTAATTAATTAATAATTATTATATTTATTTAATATTAATTAAAGAATATGGAAAAAGTTTTATTTTATTTTTAACGTTCAAGTATATAATTAGAAAAAGCGTCAAAAGCTAAACAAAATGGTATATTGCTTTTGCTAAAATAATTCGTCTTAGTAAGATTTTAATAGGAAAGAAAACAGTTTAGTCAATTTTATTAGTATGCACCACTATTATTTTAGTACGTTTGAATTCTATAATGCAACTTCAAAACTTGTGGTTTAGTGTATTTTGTAGAGCAGACTTTACACTTTAAAATGAGACCCTGTTCATTTCTTTGTAATGTGTTAATAAAATGGCACAACAATTTTAGTTTTCATAAGCGATTTCACTGATTGTTTTCTAGTAATTTCCAGCTCTTTTTCTTGGATAGGACGCTTTATCAAACTGGTATTGTTGTGCCATTTTATTAACACATTACAAAGAAGTGACCAGGGTCTCATTTTAAAGTGTAAAGTCTGCTCTACAAAATACACTAAACCACAAGTTTTGAAGTTGCATTATAGAATTCAAACGTACTAAAATAATAGTGGTGCATACTAATAAAATTGACTAAACTGTTTTCTTTCCTATTAAAATCTTACTAAGACGAATTATTTTAGCAAAAGCAATATACCATTTTGTTTAGCTTTTGACGCTTTTTCTAATTATATACTTGAACGTTAAAAATAAAATAAAACTTTTTCCATATTCTTTAATTAATATTAAATAAATATAATAATTATTAATTAATTAAAACTAATAATATTCAAAAAGTACTTTTTACCAAAAGATGGCCCATTTAATTCTGCATCGATTGATATATGTTTCAATTTTCTTAAACAAAATCGTCATGTGAAAAAATGCAAAATACTACAAGTGTCCTAAATTTATGACCGCTGGGATGAAATTGTTTTCGCCATAACTCATCCAAAACACATGTGATTTTGACTATTTTTTCAAGTTGGATAGTCCTTAATAAGGTCTTTCTAAATGTGAAAGAATCAGATTGTTAGATATTAATGCAACTGATTTATAGCAAAAAACAAAAATATCTTAAATTTATGTCCACCACTTTAGTTTAGTGTCCAAACCGAGAGAGTACTAGCCTCAAGGCCAGACGGTTGGCTACCAGCAGCCCACGGTCGCCTTCTCACGGTTTTGAAAACAGTGAGCCCCTGTGTGAATTCGAAAATTCACCCGGCAGGCGCCTTCGAGACTGTAAATGAGAGCCTGAAAGATTTGTATCTATCTGTTTGTCAGTGTGGTACGCTTTTAATCAGAATCTATTGCTTCTTAAACACAGCTAACACGAGGAACTTTCATTTATGGGTAAGCGAAACGAAGAGTCACTTTACATGTCTGTCGCTGGTTTTTCTTTCCATTTCTTGCAGGAATATCATTCAAGAAAACAAATCAGGTGCTTCGTTGTCTTTGTTGCGACAAGCTTTCATTGACATGAACGATGAAATATTCTGTTTCTGTTTTTGCGAAATAGCATTGAGCGGGCAAGAAAAAAAAACAAAATCAGGAATCAGAAGAAGAAAAGAACAGATTAGAAAACGAAAAACGTTCTTGATGAGACGAAAGCCGAGCCTTTACAGTCAACAAGAACAGGTTCACCCAGCTGTATCACTGCAAAACTAGATTTTTAATGCTGTTTTGCTTCAAGTTTTCGGAATCGCTGCTTCTGATTTGTAGACGTAAAGAAAATTACGCTTAATTAAGATAAATATTTTTTGTAAATCATCAGTTAATTTGTAATTGACAATTTCAATAGTTTTCTCTACGACAATTAAATATTACAGTTATATTTCTAAAGACTTCATAAAGAAGATCCCATATGAATAATAAGTGAATTTCAAAACTTCAAGCAACAACTATTTTTTTATATTAAGAGAAGACGCTGCAATATGTAAACGAAGAAAGATTTCTATTAGAAAACTTGGTTGAATATAGTGGGAATGATGAAATTTAGAGTAACTCATAATGTGCGAGGAATGACCATGGCTTTGGCCTTAGCTAAGAAGAATTTTCGTAAAAGTCAAAGCGAAGTTTCACAGAGGCTTCATCGTAATTCTTACTGTTAACTGAGTATTTGTTGCGAGTGTGAAATGGACAATGGGAAGAGGGATGATGGTGAAGACAAAATGCTCATCAACCTCATATTTCAGGTCCTTCAATTTTACAACATCATTTTATTTTTATTCTTTGATGCTTGTGTATAAGTGCACTAGCACCCCGATTGATCTATGTTCATTTGATTTTCAATTTCATGTTATAATGCACATTTGATCGTGCGTTCAAGTTCAAAGAAAAAAGCTCATCACATTCATAATAAAAATTACATCTAGCGGACTGTATTACCTGCAATTAACTAAAAAGAAAAAATACACTAGTTTACCGCGTTCTATATATTACAGCACATCGAACAGAAATCATGAAGCCTAATATTTAGAAAGCTCTATAAATCGCAGATGGTGGAAAGTGGCACTGAAAGCATGAGCTACAGAAATATTGGTATCAAAAAATTTTTCAAAAATTCAAACGAAAAGTTCTAGCTTTCATTTAAATATTTTGAAAGAGTTCACTTCATGAAAAAGCTCTTTAAAATTTAATACAAATGTTCTCAAATTTTTATGAACTAAATTTTGAGACTCACCATTGTTGTCTATGCTAGTCAATTATTGAGGAAACCAATTGAAATTGAATCTAATTGCTGTGCAGTTGCTATTTTATGCTTGCCAATGGGAAGACACTTTTTGGAATGCAACATAGGAATCAGGCACGAAATCTCTAATCTCTCGCTTTCCTGTCATTCATGAACAGCTCAGTGATGACAAAATAGGAAAGAATAGAACACGTTCGAGTAAAAATACAGCGAATGTGATCGCTTTTTTCGAATCTTTCATCTGTATAATGAGTGCTATTAACATTATTCTTTTTTGTTGTCTTCTCACAGCGAATACGTGTGGTGGTTTCGTACGTAAAGACGGGTGGAACATACTTGGTAATGACATATTATCTTCTCCTATACAACAACCTGATTATGCTAGCTGTTGCTCAAAATGTCAAGCAACTGTAGAGTGTATTGCTTTTACATATTCCCCATCAAGCCAAGGGTGCTCACTGAAAAAAAGTATGGATAGTGGTGCAAACTCAACTGGCGATACCGTTACTGGTTACCGCTTTCGTAAGTAAACTAACTTAAATTCAGTGTTTGGCATAAGAATACATGGGAAGGGGTATTCGTCTTAGGTTCTAAGTGTGCTTGTGAGCATGGGTGCGGATGTAAAGCATGAGTTTTGTTAGATGCGTCGATAGCTGTGGTTGTACTGCAGTGTAGCTGTGGCTTAATCGTGACTTCAGAGATGAACCACATTCACATTCA